AGCCCTGTCTCTGCTCTCACAGAGTTATAGTGATGAATAAATGAGATAACATTTGTGATATTCTTAGCACAGTATGTGCTCTGTTGTAAACATTCAAATGTTGGTAAAAAGGAGCAAAATTTTTAATATGTCAAACTTAAGTATTTTCCTATTTTAAAACTATCTGGGTGTTAAGCAACAGTTAACATTAGCTTTAAAAGTCTTTAATTGACTTCCTTTTCTACTGTCCAAATACAGCCTACCATGCTTTGACCACATAAGTAATAAGTGCCATGCAAGACCAATTGTATCCCTTTCTAAGCAGATTGACCTAAATAAATTCTACTTCACAGAACTTAAAAGGCCACCAAGTATGAATCATTTAGCTTCCTGCTCCCATATAAAGATGTACCTATATCTATATAAATTTTCCCCCTTCCTTCAGACTTTAAGTTATACCCCATCTTTTGTCCAAAATAAGTACTTCTTTCTGTTCTTGATGCAATTTCCTTCAACCTGAGCTCTAGGTCACATAGTGCCCTGCTGAATACCTTCATTTGTATATTTTGCCTCCAATTCAAAATCTTGAAAGCAGAGTCAATTATTTTTTCATCCATCCTCTCCACCATGTTCCTATCACCCACCACTCATTTTCCTCTGTTACCTATTGTGGTCATTTTTTTTGTTCCTTTCTTTCATTTGTTATCCCTGTGCTCATTCCAGTTAACGATGAAGCCATGTTAGAGTTCAAATTTAGGCATTCAGTCTCTCCTCAACCCTCTGCCTATTAGTTTTCTCCTCTCTAACCTTTTTGCTGCTCTTGTTCTAACTTGGATTAGTTCTCTTCTGAAGTAGCCTCATTGCTTCTTGCTTCACTCCTCTCCAGTCCACCCTCATACTACCATCGTAGGGATTTTCCTAAAAACAAATCTGCTCCTACAACCCTTCAGTGGCACTCTATTACACTGCAAACTCCCAAACTTGAAAGAATGAGATTGTATGACCCAGCCACCACCTCATGCCTTCCTGTTAGTCCCACTGAACTATTCCCAATTCTCCAGAGGCATTCTGCTTTATATCCCTGTACCTATGCATCTTTTGTCTAGAATGTTATCTCTGCAACCTCAAACCTTAACGCAATGTGCTTGGTGAATGTCTATCCATCTTGCACTACTTAATTCAACTTCACATCCCTTTGAAGCCTTACAGGCTTCCCCAGGAAGAGCTGATAAGATCTCTTTAGAACCCCTGCTGTACCTCGTACAGGACTATTATTTCATCCGAGACCTTTTTATTTCTCCCTACCAGGTCCTCTTTTAGGACATGAAGTGTATCTTTGACTGGACTTGTATTTTAGTGCTTAGCACAGTATCTGGCACAGAGAAGTGCTCAAAAATGTTTGAGGAATAAACAGATTAATTATAGATTTTTAAAGCTTTTTGATATCTTAGAGTTGAAGAAGAGATAACTGATATAATATTTGGAGATAAATGGAAATATCTGACTATGTCTTTTAGAAAACTACATATTTACATCCTAAATAGAAATAGCCATGGGCCTCCCTAGTGGCGCAAGGGGTTAAGTGTCAGCACTGTGAAGCTATCCGCAGCCACTGGAGCATGAGTTTGATCCCAGGGCAGGGAGGTGACCCACATGGTGCAGCAGACCTCTCTTGTCTCACCCGGGGCTCCCCTCAGCAGTGTATATCGTTAGATCTGCCTGTTCTGTTCCCCACTCTGTCTCTGGTGAATCCTCTCACACCCTCCCACACCTCTGGCCTGCCCCCCAGCTCTGGTATGCATAAATAAATATATCTTTTTAAAAAATAGAAATAACCATGTTCTAGAACCTGGTCATTACGGACAACCAACAAAGTAAATGAATAGGCAAACTATTCATGAGTCCTAGTGAAATATGAGATACTTGCCAATATATCAGAGAACTTATAGCTTCATTGGAGTTGGAGGTAAGTGTTGTCTTTAAGCATTTGGGGTTTTTTTATTGTTAATTCACCACAATGTTAACCTGAGATACATTTATCCTAATAACATTTATTTTATGGTCACTGTTGTTCTACCTTTCATTATGCAAAAAAGATAAATATTAAGGGAGAGGAATCAAAACTAACATTACTACAATAACTTAGAGGAATGCAGACCTTTTCTGAACCATAAAATTCCTTATCTGGGAACTTCTAAATCCAAAGATTTTATGCTTATGCTGATTATAAATTTGTGCTGGTAAGGACTGACCTGACAAATAATTTTGAAGTAAGCAAAATTCACTGCACTCTCACCCCGGCACATTAAGTATTCACAGAATTATTTCCTGGTTACCTAGGACTGCACATCCCCTTGGTTCCCTGCACAGGTCTGCCTCCTAATGCAAAGCAAGTACTGTGTTCTGAACTGCTCTTTCTATGAAAACTTCTGTCTTCTTTCCAAAGGCTGTGAAGCCCAGCTTTCTGAAGGCTGCTACTTGGAAACCATTTGATAAGTTTATTTATACTAACATCATATTGAGTAATACATAATTCAAAGGGGGATTTGCATTTTTAATAAGACTGTTGGATACCTAACAACTAACCCTATGAGCCAATCTTATAAATGGGCATTTCTCACTAACCCATATACTTTCCATGATTCTGTGTCTTTAAGCATGTTGAACCTTCCATCTAGAATGACCTCCCCCAATCTCACCACTGTTTCAGTCTGATGGACTGCTAAGAAACTTTCTGTAAATTCCCCAGACTGAGTTGGTCTCTCCAATCTAGACTTTTCTAAAAATATATGTACTTGCTCTCTCAATTTCTTTTACTTTTTATGTGCTCTTCAACTAACTTCAGGGTGACTTTTGCCCCCACCAATCCAGTGCACCTAATAACCTTTATATGGGTAAATCAGATGACATATTTCAGTCTTCATCTTTCTGGACCTCTCAGTAACTTACCACTATTGACATCCACCATCACCCCTTTTATTTTCTCCACTCACTCTTCTTAAAATTCTCTTCCCCTGGCTTTCTTGACATGAAAATATGCTAGTCTTCCTTTATCTCTCAATCTCCTTTATTAGCCCATCTTTACCTAATCTTTAAATGTTGGAGTTCCTTCAGGTGATGTCTTGGCCCTTATCCCTTCTCCAGCTCTGATTTCTCATTAGTAAGCAAACTCCCCCACCCTCATGGCATTAATAACTGCCATATGCTGAAGAATGACAAATTTATCTCCAGACTGCTCTCCTGAGTTCCAGCTTCCATCGAGGTCACTTCTTCAATATATCTACTTGGGGTTTTGCAGGCATTCCAAACTCAGTAGGTTCAAAATTCCCATTGTTTTCTCTACCTGAGAGAACACCATTTCCACCCATGAAGTTAGCTAAACCAGAAAGTGGAAGTTATTAACCTGCCTACCTCTCTTATCTCCATTGGTTATCCTTCTGACAGTCATCAAATATACATTGGCATCATTAGTTGGAATACACTTCAAACATGTTTTTCGAATGTTCCTTTTCATGGTTTAAATAGTTCATATAGATTATTCATCTATGTTAGGAAGTGTCCTCTGATTACACCCTGCTTTTGAACACATTAGTTTTCTATAAACCATTGAGTGTTCCTAGACCTTGTTGGTTATCTTGAGAATTGTGTACATTATTGAAGATGTTTTGATTAACTCACTGTAATAAAATTACAGTTCTAAAACTTATAATAAAATTCTGGTTTACTTCAGTAACAAGAAAAAGAGAACAAAACTATTATTTATAAGGCCAACTTATCAACAGAGAATTTATACAGCCATGTTTTCCCAGACAGAAATAAGGATAATTTTATTTGAAAGGAAAACTTGCCCAAGAAAAATTTCTAGAGAAGCTGAAATTTTCTGACTTGTTACCACACTAACAAGTCCATCTACTAGATAAAGAAGTTGGGTTTTGTGCTTCGTGTTTTTTGTTGTTGTTGTTGCTGTTTCCTTTTCTTTAAAACTTATACATATCTAAGCAAATCATTTATCTGTTTATTTTCTCAGAGTTTTACATGGTTGATATTTCAGATTAAGCCAAAGGGAATTTGTGGTTTTGAGATCAGAAATTCAACTGTTTTCTAAAACTTAAAGGATAAATTACTAATTAACTATTTGTAGACCCAATCTTTGGTTCTAAATAGTAAAAATGCTTTATTGATATTTTGAGTGTATATCAATAATAACTTGGATCTATGGCAGCCACAACAAAGGGTAATGTTGGAACCTCGACTAGATAGAGTCTGACAAGTCTTGCTTAAAAATATGTATCTTACTCCATTTCCTGCTAAAGAAAGAACAGAGAACGTGGAAAAACCTTTCCTCCCATCAACTGGCTGGAAAAATAAAATTATCTTCTATGTGTTTCTTGGAATTTCAGGCATTTGAGATTATCTAACAGATATTAATACAGCTAATTGCTCACTAAATTAAATGAAAAGTTGTAAGAGTTTTACCAAAGCTCAGCCCAATGAGGAAATATGTATCTATGATAAATTACTGAACTTCCCTTTAATCAATAGTATACACTTCTATCCAAGCAGAAAGAAGGATCATGATCCTCCCTAATTCATTAATCTGAACATATGATAGAAATTATAAGGATGTATGATTCTGCTAACTGAAAATGGGACTTAAATTATTTTTGCCTCTAAAGCAATCAGTGCCCTAGATCTCATCTGACCCTTAATCGCTCCTTGTTGGCCCTGCACCTTGAGAACTCTTCCTCAAGAAATTAATGTTCTGAATTCACTAAAGAGAACCAAGAAACTGTCCTTGAATCTGGCTGCCTCCAGAAAACCTCAGGTCCTGAAACCTGGATACCAGACTTGGACACTGGCACTAGGGACTCTGCAGGGCCAAACCAGCCCACAGGAAACCAGGTTTGGACCCGTTATGTGACTAGAGGAATTAATGCTTTGTCTACCTGTTTTGTAGATGCCTTCCTTGTACAACGTCAAAGTATTTGCTGAATTGTGCCTCTTTCTGATGATTCTCACAGATTCAAAGAATGAATTATGTGTACAGTCAGCAAAGTTCTGAGAGCTTCAGGAAGAAGAGGAAGGTCAGCGAACCAGTGAAAGTCTTCATTCCTGACAGAAAATGACAGTAGATGCCTTCACTACATTTATTCTAATTTTATTTTGCAACAAACTTACATGAAATGTCTTAGTAGAAAAGTAAGTTCCTATCACTAAAACCTTTTGCTAAATGTGTTGCTCAACTTTTTAAAGTCAACTTACTAAGTGCTAAGTTACTGGATAGAACATGGGTTAACTCTGCCCCAAGGAAACAAGGTCACTAGGGCTGCTTTGAAATTGCATTACTTCAGGGCCTCCCCGGTGGCGCAGCGGTTGAGCGCTGGGTTGCGAAGCTGCCCACAGCGTCTGCAGTGCCGGTTCGCCCGCTGCTCCCCTCAGCAGTGTACTTCGGTCCTTCTGCCTGCTCTGCTCCCCACTCTGGCTCTGGTGAATTCTCTCACCTTCCCGTGCTTCTGACTGTACCCAGTGCTTGTATAAATAAATAAATAAATCTTAAAAAAAAAAAAAAGAAAAGAAATTGCATTACTTCAAGGCTGAGTTAGAGATGCAATACTCTTTATATTTGTAGAACAACCTCAGCAGCTATTTTGAAAAGAAATAAACTGCTGTTCTCAAAGGAAAGAAGGGTTTTCTTTTCATAATTAAATTCCCCAGGTATTTTCACACAAGGCATTTAGACTAGTGTGAAGTGTTTTAACTTGTTGTAACCTGTGTACTAGAATCCCTTCATAGCTTAATTAGAATCCCACAGAATTGCATAGGATGTGCTTGGTGAGGCTTATCTACGTCTGATTTTTGTTAACTTCAATCAAGAGGTTGATCAGTCATTTGGTAGACTAAAATGTACTCTCCCTAGTAAGTTCCTGAAATCTGGCACTAGGACCTGTACTGTTGGCCAGCTCAAGACTGGGGAATAGGTTGCAATGCAGGAGCCTAGCTCTCTTCTCAAGACCCAATTCTGAGTGCTTCCCAATAAACACTTCAGTTTATCAATCTTTAATTGGCAGATGATGCTACTAATCTTCTCCTTATACTGAAAGAATTTTGATAGACTTAATGATTAGTATCAGCTTAGTAATAAATGACATAGTATTAATTTTGCTATTTATATAACATGGATTTAATAATTTAAATGGATAAATAATTTATGTCATATATACAATATATAAGTTATATATATAAGCAATAAGTTCAATATTAAATATGTATACTTTCTGGCTAAATAAAAGCAAAATGTAACTTTTTTTTTTTTTTTGCTCATCTTTTTTTCTTTACTAAGGTCAGTGTTTCTCCAAGTGTGGTAAGGACATTAGTCCTTGGAGTGATTGTTAAAATACAAATTGCTGGGCCTGCCTCATTTTTACTAAATAAAAATCTCAAGGGTAGGACCTTGTGGAAAACTTCTTGGATTTCATGTACTCAAAATATTAAGAACCCAGAGTCTTATACCCAGAATAAGAGGAGAAACTCTGGGGTCAAATATACACTTTAGCCAGCAGAAGGCTGTGTGTGATTGTAACATAGGAGAACCTGAGGGGGCCTACCTGACTGGCAATGTCCTTTGTTATTGTATCCATTTCTGACTGCCCACAGTCAGCCGACACACTGAAGTCTTAAATTGGGCTGTAGAACCAGGGTGGCCAGGAAGGAGCATCTCCCCAGCAAATTAAGTATACTCACATGAGCTCACTCTGCTACTGAAGGGAGAAGGAGGAGAAAAGTACTGGGTTTCTTATAGCCTGAGTCATCACAATTTCTTTTAAGCGAATCACCAAAAGAATTTAGTTGTCTAATAGAGGGATTAGGCTTATTTTGTGTCTTTCCAAAGGGTAGATCTTAGACCAAATTGGTAAAAGCTACAAGAGGTCAAAAAGAAGAACTTTATATATATATATATATATTTCTTACATCATTTTTCATTTTTGCACAATGTATGCATTTTCATCTTGGTTATATTCCCCATACAATTGCACCCCCCTTATTTTGACCCAATCCCTCCTATTCCCCACCCCAAGCCCCCTGTAGTGTATCTCTTTTTCCTGGTCCCTGTTACTCTTTTTCCTGGTCCCTTATTTAGGTTTTCTAAACTCCTGCTATGAGTGAGACCATCCGGTAAAGAACTTTTTAACTTCACAGTTTGTCAGTATTTTGAAATGGGCTACCTTGTGAGGTAGTGAGCTTACTTCTACTACAAGTGTTTGAACACAAAAGAGCTTTACAAAGACTCTAGGAATCTTAAAAGCAAAATAGTTATCGAGGAGTAATTAGTCAATCCTGATTTTAAAAGGGACCATTTTGTTTAAAGGGGGAAATTCAATTCTCAACCTATATTTACAATTTTCATAAAATTAGCTTAAGGTTGACAGATCTTTGTAGTCAAAGTCTGCAATCTGAATCCATTCAGAACCTTTCTATAGTGATTTTTATTGCCTCTATTAACACTCCTCTGTCCCAAGAAAACAATCTTTTATTGATGACAATAGGTGGAATGTGTATGTGTGATGCAGTGTGTGTACAGAGAGGTTGCTGGATATATATCCTTAGCTGGGCACATAGAAAAAGAGATCTGTTATCAGGAGGATTTAGGAACCAAGAAAATGCGAACTGGCTGATTTTATGCAGCACAGCTCATATATGCAACCAGTTGGAGTGTATCAAGATTGGAGTGTATTCAATTCTGTTTATTGAATGATTTATTAGGAAGAAAAAAATATTTTCTCTAGTCTATTAATTTCTGTTGCTAATGGCATTGGAATGAGTAAACTCAAATTCCTTGAGGAGCTGAAATTTCAGTAAAAAGAATGAAAGCTTAGGTATGAGGATATGAGCTGGGGAGCCTGAGCTGTCTCTACATTACCATTTCCTCACATTGACTCTGCTTGGTTCTTCACTGTGATGACAAAGATTAGATGATGATAGCTTGGAAACTGGGACATTGTTGAATTAAATATTATGCAGGGGAAATTTGACTTTGCTGTTTGGGGTTTTTCTGTCTTTACAGAAAGTTGGTTTAACTGGAAAGAGATAGATTAGTCTAGGCACCAAAACCGCATCTTCATTTCCCCTCTCTTGGGGTGTCTGAGTTCTTTCATTCCCCATCTTACCTCTGCCAGAAACTGGAAATATTCATCAGTATCAAAGTTGCACTCATACAATTTCAAAGTAGTGTATGTATGTTAAAAAGACCACTAATCATTAGAACCAGTGAGTGGAATTGTCAATTTATGGTTTCAAATCCAATAGTATTGGCACTTTAAGAGATTTTCATTGGTTCTTATAGTAAAAATAATGCTCATTTATAACCATCATCATTTGAAGGAGATCCCAGATGATAAAATGAGACTTAACACACTATGCTTGTAAGAGGACAGGTGAGGTCCTCTATGTTGTATGATTCTAGATTCCATATAAGTGAGAAAAGGCCTTTGTCCTAAATGTATTCTTTTTTAGGAATTAGTTTGTATTTTTTAAAAACTAGTATTTTAAGTGTGATTGTGTGATTTGTGTAATGAGGACTTGACTCAGACTTGCTACTCAGTTTTCAGTTTCTGTCATTGACAAGAGTGCCACTGGGGACCTTAATGAACACTTTGGTTATGCAGTGGTAAAGCCAAGGTCCTATCCAGAAGTGGGAACACTTGAGATATTAACCTGCTCATCTAACTTCCCCTTGGCTGTACAGCATCATCGCAAATAGGATTTTACCTTGTAGGAATATCAAATTTGTTGAGACTGACTCCTATAAGAGGTGGTGGGTTCACTACTGCTGACTGTGATGTCAAAGAAGGGCGGTGGTGGTTAAACTGATCCCTGAAACCTGACTGGAAGTTGCACCTGAAATTCATTGAATAGGGGACCCTGGAAAAAAGTCTCTTAAACATTTTAGTCTGGCCTTAATTGTGCTATGAGGTTCAGCCATAGAAGGGTTTCCCTGTGGAAGGGGTAAAGAGGTAAGCTGATTGAAATAGCAAAAAACATCCAAGACAGGCTGGTAGAGCATGTACAAAATCCTGGTGTAAGAGTAGACTTTGAGAGTAGTTATTTGACTGGAGGAGTCTGGGGCATCTGTGTTCCATTTGGATAGATTACAAATTGGCTGTAGGATAGGCCTGAGAAATTTTCATAGTAAGTTAGTTAAAAAATAGCCTGGGCTGATGGCTTCAAAACCTGAATGTCATTTTCTAGACAAGTTATTTAAACTTGCTAGCCCTCAGTTTCTTCAATCTGTAACATGTGGATCTTAATGGTAGCTACCTAGTAACGCTGCTGTGAAAATTGAGCAGCAAATTAAAGCTAATTGACAAACACACATACAGTCATTGTTCAACAGATGTTCATAATTATTACTATTTTTTAACTCATGGCATATCCTCTTTCTTACTCTCAGAAATTTAGATCCCTGTGCTGCTTTTTGCATACCCAGATCCTGCATCAACACTCTCTCCAAGCCTGAATTAGCACTTGAACCATGCTCCCAATTGCCATTCTCAAAACCCTCTCCACTCCTTTCCCCAAATTGAAATTCCCTTTCCCTCAGGATAGTTTGATGGAAGGGAAATATCAGATTAATTAGCTGCCCTCCAATATTTACATTTTACAACAGAAACTTGCTAATAATAAAACTGAGTTTACTTCAGGACTGTGATATGAGAACAGATTTAATAAACAGAGAAGAAAATCTGAAGAGAATTTTGTAACTATCTTCGAATATATGTGGGGATGTCATGAAATTCTGGGAACACAGATACAATCTCAATTGTTCCAACGAGTAGGACAGACCCATTTGGAAGAAGTGCAGGGAGGCAGATTTGGACTCCACATATTGAAGAATTTCCCCCCAATGATCTTGCAAAGTTCCTTGCGCTTGAGAGACAATCAGCCTTTTAATGTTTTTATTGTTAATTGTTTAGTTATGTTTAATTGTTAGCAATTAGAATTGTCAACTGGTGACTCTGCTTCTGGCTGTAATAAGTTCCCTGTCACTAAAGGTGTTCAAACTGAGTTGTCCAGAATGTTGTCCATTTGGATAAAAATTGAATAAAAAATATTGAGATCTCTTTCAGCTATAAAATTCAGCGACATTTTCATTAATGGTAGAATTTCAACAGAGATATTTTGGAGCAAAGGAGAATTTTATAAATCCTTTTTCCAAAAGACAGTAAAATGAAGTGGTTAAAACTGAGGGTTCTGGATTTAGACACTGCCTGGGTTCAAACCCTAGTCCTCCTACTTGCTAGCTGTGTGACATTGCGCCGATTATTTACTATCTGTGCACTTAAGTTTCCTTATCTGTAAAAGTGGGCCAATAACAGGGTCTTCTTCATAGATTTATTGCAAGAACTAAATGAGTCACTATAGGGAGAGTGTTTAGAAGACTGCCTGGCACACAGAAAGTTAATGCTTAATGCACGTTAGTTACAAGGTATTACTTGATGCCCTTACCACTTCTACAGCTTTTTGTCTTCTCAGTATTAGAGGGAGGTTTTTTTGTAGCATGATTGACCCTGACCTTGTTTTTTCCTAAAACATATGTCAGCCATGGCCACTGTAATTAGCCAGTGCACTTTGTATTTCCTATAAGCAAGCTTTAAAGCTAAATAAGCAGACAGGGTCTGTGACGCACACTTAATGAAGGATCCCATTGATGAAATACAATCATGGCTGTGGACACCTTAACCCTGCTGTATGCCTGGCAAGTGGTAGATGCCCAGTAAATATTTGTTGAATGAATAGATGAACTTGGCAGGGTTCTTATTATTTCCTACATTTTATTTATTTTTGATTAAGTAATACAGTCACATGATTTAAAATTCAAAAGGAACAAAAGGCTATGTAGTGAAATCATACCTCCCACCCTGTCCCCAGCCACCCAGTTTCCCTCCTCTTAGGTAACTAACATTACCACTTTCTCATATATCTTTCCAGAACTATATTAGGCATAAAAAAGTAAACATACTATTAGCATATGCACATTCTTTTCTTTTTTTTTTTTTTTTTTTTAAGATTTATTTATTTATTTATACAAGCACTGGGTACAGTCAGAAGCGCGGGAGGGTGAGAGAATCCACCAGAGCCAGAGCGGGGAGCAGAGCAGGCAGAAGGACCGAAGTACACTGCTGAGGGGAGCAGCGGGCGGCAGGAGAGGTCTGCGCACCATGTGGGACCCTCCTCCGGAGGCCGGGGAGCAACCGGGGATCGAACCGGCGCTGCAGAGGCCGCGGGCAGCTTTGCAACCCAGCGCTCAA